AAGTGCGCGCGTCGCCGGGGACGAAGAGGCTGGTGTGCCCGGTGGTTCGGCTAGCTCCCGGGTCCCGGCCCCGCCTGGAGGGCGGGTCCGCCGATTACTCACTTTGTTTTTAGGGGATTTCAGGGCCCCCTCCCACCGATCGGCGGAGTTTGGTGATGTCACTCTGGGCCGGGTCTGGAGCAAAGCCCGGGCTACGGGGCTGCGGCCGCCCGCCCCGCGCAGGGAAAGGCCCAGCCGGGCCTTCTGCTCCGCAGAGGCCGGGTGGTTGAACTCCATGCCGGTTTCCTAATCGCTAAAGGTGCCTTTCGGTGGTGACTGTCTCAGAAGCACGTTAAAATGTCCAACCTACCCCACTGTAGATGCGGCTGTAGGGGAAGGGGAGCGGCCGGACCTCCCCGCCTGACAGTGCATCAGGGAGCTTTGCGGAGCCTGCAGCCCGGATGGGACAACTTGAGGCCCTCCCGCTGGCGAGCTGGCCGAGAGCTCGTCCCTCTCCAGCTAAAGCGCCAGCTTACTATGCAGCCAAACTGCCGGCCCTCAGCGGCTGTGGGAGCAGGGGGTCCCCAGGGGTAAACCCCGGAGCTTCGTCTCTGAAGCCTGGCGCTTGCATCTCAGAAGGTCCGGGACCCACAGGGGACACTCGAATCAGCAGGGCCACAACCCCCAACCCCACTGCCCCCGCCTGTGTTTGCCCTGGACCTCCAGCTAGGGCTGACCACTAATTCTGTCATGTGACCCCACAGTGCGGGTAGCTCTCCCAAGACCAAGCCCAAGGCGCGTCCTTGTGGGGGCTGGGGCTGGCGCAGCCCCACCTCAGGCCTCATCCCCGAAGGAGGATGCTCCAGGGGGCGGAGTCTTCTCCAGATGGAGAAAGACTTGTTTTCTCTGAATTCGTCTTAAATTAGGAAATCATGTGGGAATTGGAAAAGATTGGAAATTCTGACTTGTTTCCCAGGCTCTGAAGAAACAGGAAGAGAAAAGTGAAAATAGAGTTAGCACCCCGCCCACTCATTTCAGTTTCTCCAGTGGCTGGCCCTGATTAGAAAAGTGTTTACTTTTGGCAGGGGGCGGGGAAGGCCGACTTCAGTTGACCGAATGGATGACATACAATTATCATTAAACCTTGCATGGATCCTGTTCTTAAAATTCATGTATATTTATAACTTTTAAATTAATACCATGAACACCCGTGTACCCATTGCAAAACTTAAGGGACCACCACCGTGCAGAATTCTGCATTGCATTGTATTGTATTGTATGTATTTATTTTTTTGAGACAGGCTCGCGCTCTGTCGCCCAGGCTGGAGTGTAGTGGCACAGTCTTGGCTCACTGCAGCCTCTACCACCTAGGATCAAGCAATCCTCCCACTTCAGCCTCCTGCATAGCTGGGACTATGGGAGCACACCACCATGCCTGGCTAAGTTTTTGTATTTTTTTGTAGAGAAGTGGTTTAACTTGTTGTCTAGGCTGTCCTTGAACTCCTGAGCTCAACTTTCCTTCCACCTTGGCCTCACAAAGTGCTGGGATTACAGGAATGAGTCACCACGCTGGGCCAGAATTCTGTATTTTCTTAAATTAATTAATTAATTATAACTAGAGATGGGTCTTGCTGTGTTGCCCAGGCTGGTCTCAAACTCCTGGGCTCAAGCGATACTCACACCTCAGCCTCCCAAAGTGGAATTACAGGCATGAGCCACCACGCCTGGGCCAGAATTCTGTATTAAAAAAAAAAAAAAATTACTCATATCTGCATGCCTACACAATATATTTTTTGGTTTTCCTTAGTTTTGGACTTTTTTTTTTTTTGAGATGAAGTCTCGCTCTGTCGCCCAGGCTGGAGTGCAGTGGCATTCGGCTCACTGCAACCTCCACTTCCCAGGTTCAAGCGATTCTCCTCCCTCAGCCTCCCAAGTAGCTGGGAGTAAAGGGGCCAACCACCACTCCTGGCTAATTTTTGTATTTTTTTAGTAGAGACGGGGTTTTACCGTGTTGGCCAGGCTGGTCTCGAACTCCTGACCTCAGCCTCGGCCTCCCAAAGTGCTGGGATTACAGGCGTGAGCCACTGCGCCCGGCCAGTTTTGAACTTTTATGTAGAGGGCATCATATGATTTGTTGTCCTTTGTTATTTGCTTTTTTCACTCAACATATTACTATGATTCATCTGTTTCACAGTTAATTCACTTTTCACTGCTGTATACTGTTTTGTTGTGTAAATATACCACTGTTTGTTTATCTAGTCATCCTGAAGACGGACATTTTTATTTTCATTTTTTTCAGATGGAGTTTCTCTCTTGTCGCCCAGGCTGGAGTGCAATAGTGCCATCTTGGCTCACTGTAACCTCTGCCTCCCAGGTTCAAGTGATTCTCCTGCCTCAGCCTCATGAGTAGCTGGGATTACAGGTATGTGTCACCATGCTCGGCTAATTTTGCTTTTTTTTTTCTTTTCAGACAGAGTTTTGCTGTTGTTGCCCAGGCAGGAGTGCAATGGCACAATCTCGGCTCACTGCAACCTCTGCCTCCCAAGTTCAAGTGATTATCCTACCTCAGCCTCCTGAGTAACTGGGATTACAGGTGCCTGCCACCACGCCTGGCTAATTTTTTGTATTTTTAGTAGAGACGGGGTTTTACCATGTTGGCCAAGCTGGTCTCAAACTCCTGACCCCTTAGGTGATCCACCTGCCTCAGCCTCCAAAAATGTTGGGATTACAAGCATGAGCCACTGCACCTGGCTAATTTTGTATTTTTAGTAGAGACAGGGTTTCACCATGTTGGCCAGGGTGGTCTCTAACTCCAGACCTCAGGTGATCTGCCTGTCTCGGCCTCCCAAAGTGCTATTACAGGCGTGAGCCACCGCGCCCGGCCATGGGCATTTGGACTTCTAATTTTTTGCTACCGTAAGCTTTAGAGCACTGAGCTAATATGCAAAAACAGCAATCATGTAGTTTTTAAAACTTAGTCTGGGGTTAAAGAAGTATGTAAACAACTATGTTTTCTTAATGATTTATAGGAGCATTGTGACTAGACCAAGGACAAAGAAGTTCCCAACCTCCTCGGCCCCTCGCTGCTGCCCAGATGTCTGCCGTGGGGTACCTCTTGGTCACACCCTCCTCCTCTTCCCTGCCCTTAACATAGAAAGAGTCTAAGATTGTACTGACTTAAAATGGTACTTTAGAACGCTAGTACACCATCCTCTCAGTCTTGTTGGCTTTCAGAATAAACCAATAAACCTACTTTTTCTCCCACCAACCCCCCTGTCAGTTGGGATCCTCTTACCTAGGCCTCCCAAATAGCTGGGACCATAAGCACTCACCACCACACCCAGCTAATTAAAAAGAAAACAATTTTTTGAGGCAGGGTCTCACTCTGTCGCCATGCTGGAATGCTGTGGCATGACACTGCAGCCTCAAACTCCTGGGCTCAAGCAGTCCTCCCACCTTAGCCTCCCAAGTAGCTAGGACTAACAGCGTGTACCACCACACTCGGTTAATTTCTTTTTTTTAAAATTTTTAGTAGACACAAGGTCTTGCTGTGTTGCCAAGGCTGGTCTTGAACCTCTGAACTCAGGCGATCCTCCTGTCTCAGCCTCCCAAAGTGTTAGAATTACAGGCATGAACTACCAAACCTGGCTGAGTTTTTAAAAATCTTAATGAATGCATGGATTTAAATATATTAGCTATGTTTTAATCAATTATAGTTATTCTTATTGAAATTCAAATTATTCATCTTTGGTTAGGGAGAACCTCTTCATGTTAGTTCTTCAGTCCTTTTGACACAATTCCAATATATGAGTCTTGGTGGCTCATACGTGTAATCCTAGCACTTTGGAAGGCTGAATGGGGAAGATTTATTGAGGCCAGGAGTTTAAGACCAGCCTGTTCAACATGGCACGATCCCTATGTCTATTAAAAATAATAATAAAGGCCAGGCGCGGTGGCTCAAGCCTGTAATCCCAGCATTTTGGGAGGCCGAGACGGGCGGATCATGAGGTCAGGAGATCGAGACCATCCTGGC